CTAAGAACCAACCCCAACTGATGGGTGAGTGCTGCTTCTGGGCTGTGTTGGAAAGGATTCTGGGGTCAGGTCTGTGCCCAGAGGGAAGAGGTGCAGGGATTGGTCAACAGTGTGAATGGAGGAGGGACTACCAGCACACACGCTACCCTGACACTGACCTGCAGATGCTAGGGGAGGGAGAAGAGTGAAGGATGCGCAGATGTTTGGAATGGGCCAACTACAAGTAATCACTTCCTTGGTAAAGGGACACTATTAACAACCGAGGCATCTGTCATGTGATGGACTGGATTGAGTGTATGGGATTGAGTTTCAGTCCCAGTTCTGCTACTGGGATGGATATCCTACTGTGTATGTGATGGCTGAGGGGGAGGGCAAGACAGTACTTGTTAAATAACAGCTAAGTGCCAGTAAGCTCCAAGTGTTTTATATACATCGCGGGATTTCATTAAACTCCTCCAAGTGTCAGTTTTCTGTCACAAAATGGGAATAGCATTGTCAGTGTGGTGTGCCGATTAAATATGGTAAAGGGGTGAAAGTTCACTGTATACCATACGTTGTTATAGGAATAGAGTACTGGTGCAAGGAGGATCTGCTTTCAAGGCTGGATCCAGTGGTTAACCACAGGCCTCATCCTCAGACTGTCCTGGGTTCTGATCTCAGCTTCACTACTTACTACATTTCCCCTACACCCCATTTTCCTCACATAAAAAACAGAGATAATATCAGTACTATCTAATAAAGTCCTATGATCACAGGAGACAATGCAAGAATGACCAGCAGGGTGTTTGGCATAAAGCAAGCATTTGATAAATGATATCTTCTTTTAAAAATTATAGAGCTTCCCTTGTGGCTTAGCTGGTGAAGAATCTGCCTGCAATCTGGGAGACCTGGGGTCAATCCCTGGGTTGGGAAGATTCCCCTGCAGAAGGGAAAGGCTACCCACTCCAGTACTCTGGCCTGGAGAATTCCATTGGCTGTATAGTCCATGGAGTTGCAAAGAGTCGGACATGACTGAGTGACTTTCACTTCACTTTAAAAATTATAATTTTTCTTGTTAATATTATAAAAAAAAATTAGATTGTTGCCACACATTTCATGAATGGCTTCCAATAAAGTTTTTCATTCATATAAAAGTCTGGTGGAAAATGGATTGAATTTGGGGTCTTGCAGATCAAAATCTGAGTCTCTTATCCCCTGACTTTTGCAGAGACAAGTGGCAGATGGTGAAACTGGAACATCAGACCCTGCTCCTCGATCGAGAGGCAGGCCGCTGTCTTGGCACCATGGAGCTCGGGGACGCAGAGCCGCGGCAACATGTTCTCAGGTACCACTCACTCAGAGTGGATGGCTGGTCTTCTCTGGGATCGGCAGTGCTGCTGGGTGAATGCCGCACACAGACACTTACCGCTTAGAAGGACCTGCCACAGGGGGCAAGTGAAATCTCTGCTCTGACTGACACAGGATGGACGAGCGGAGGAGACCATCCATCAGTGTCAGGAAAGATCTGAAGCACCTGGCTAGTCAGTTGAAATAAAATAAATTATTTACTGATCTCAGAATCCAGCTGCTCATTTGACTGCTCATAAAGTGTGCCCTGAACTTCGCAGTTGATTCTGTTTCAGAAAGGAAGAATTTCCGGACTGCTGCGTGCAGGCTTTTGTTGTTGTTGTTGTGAGAATGAGAGGGTGTTACCATTTGCTTCCAAGGAGGAAGTGTGTATCTGAATTCATGTGCATGGGAATAGGAAGTGGACTTATTCACTGCACGATATAGTACTCATGGGCATGGTTATCCGACTGTCAAAAAATTATTGTACTTTAATTAATGAAGCCTTTGCTTATAATGCTAAAGACTAAATTTAGATTCATAATGGAAACAAATGCTGATACCTATTTTAGAAGTGCCTCAGTTGTGACTCTCCACCAGAGGGCGCCATGGGTGTCACTGGAAGCATCCAGAGGTGACCACGACCAGCTTCCCAGTCATCTTGCTTCTGAGAACCAATGCTCTAGAGAGATACCTGTGTCACCAGCATCACCCACGCCTACCTGAAAAGTCCGCACTGCCAATAGAAAGTGAAAGTGAAAGTCACTCAGTCGTGTCCAACTCTGCAACCCTATGGACCGTACAGTCCATGGAATTCTCCAGGCCAGATTAGTGGAGTGGGTAGCCTTTCCATTCTCCAGGGGATCTTCCCAACCCAGGGATCGAACCCAGGTCTCCTGCACCGCAGGCAGATTCTTTACCAGCTGAGCCTCAAAGGCAGCCCCTCGCCAACAGAGCCACTACCTCATCTGAGTGTCTGGTTAAATCCTTTCAAGATGGTGGACCAGGAGAGAAAGTAACGAGCAAAGTAAACGTTAACAGCAATGACAACGTTCCGAGAAACTTCTGTGGGCTGCTCTCATACACAGTCTTAAAAGGTAAACAGTATAATTCCCACTTCATCAATGCCAAACATGAAGACTGAAAGAGGAAGGAACTTGCCTAAGATTAGGCTGCAGGTAAGCGGTAAAGCTGGGATTTAAACCCACTGTTCCCTGCAGAGTTGGGTGTCTTTGCACAGATCCTTTTGTGAGCTTTTCCCTTTGGATGAATATACAGATCAGAATCTCATAAATTCAAGTTTGGCTTTTACCTTTCAGAAAAACTTTGGGGAAAGAAATCCACACTATCGGTTATCTTTCCAAGGCACTGCTTTCCACCTGGGGAAATGGCAGGAATGGGTTTGCTGATTATGCTCGCCTGGGAGGATCCCCGCCTTGTACCCTGGACCTCTATCTGCAGTCAGGCTAGTTACTGGGCTTCTTAAAGTTAGAACCACTCAGAAAAAGCAGACCTTCTGTTATTGGGAAAGAACTGCAGGCAAGCACGATGTCTGAGTAGCACTCTTATCTTCGCAAACTTTTAATTGAGGATATACAAACAGAAAGTGCATAAATCCTAAGACTATATAAAACCTGACTTTCCCACCAAGTCTACAGAAATCATGTAATCAGCACCCAGACCAAGAAACAGAACTTTACCAGCACCCCAGATGCTTCCCCTCCAGTCACTGTAGTCTCTTCAGCCCCGATAACCACTGTCATTACGTCTACAGATTATCTTTGTGTATTTTTGAACATTATATAGATGGATCCATTCAGCATGTACTTTCACCCCTTTCTGGCTTGTTTTTGAGCCGCCTCATTATTTTTACTTCTGTGAGAGATACCAGAAGAAGCACCTTTAGGAAGAAAAACACTGAAGAACTTTATGTTTTAACAATCAACATTAAATAAGTCTTTTGTACAATGTGGAGCTTTTTTGTGAGGAGGGATAAAGAGGTCTACAGAGGGGGAAAGAAGATGGGTTCTGTGTGTTCTGATTCTAAGATACTGGTGCTAATTTCTCTATTTAGTCTGCCATAATCACCATCATCTTAGAAGCTGATGTTTATTGAGCACTTGCTATGTGCCAGGTGCCTTTCTAAGTATTCCATGTGTGATAAGACACTTGGTCCCCATAATTACCCCATCTGTGAGATAGAGACTATTATCTTCATTTTACAAATGAGGAGACTAAAGCTTTGCATCACTTGCCTGTGTTGATACAGCTAACGAATGAGTCAGGGTTTGAACCGAGACTTCTAACTCTTGAGTCTGTCCTCCAAGCTTCCACTATGTTGCATCTCCACTAACAGATCTTTCTTAAGAGGTCTACAAACTGCCAGGCCTTGGCTGGAGTATCTGACTTGTTCCCCACAGTAATGCTAAGAAGCTGGCACGCTCACACTCTCATTTAAACAGAACAGAATCGAGGCTCAGAAAAATTAAGACATTGCCTAATATGGCTGGTTGTTGACAGAGTCACAGTTTAAACCAGATGTGATTCCAATGCTCATCTCTTAATTACTAAGCTACTGTCAGCTTACTTCAAGCTCCTGTCAGTCAAGCTAGTAAGAGATATTTGAGAGATTTTTGAGACTTATTACACATTAGCTGGACTAATGCCCATGTAAGAAAAGGTTTTATTATGAGACACATATGAAACCTTTCTGAGAAATAGAACATTCATGAGTCTTAGAGTTAGAATTCAAGCTTTCTCCCTTTGCACATGAAGTAAAGGATGCCCAGGCAGGGGTGGTGTGGCTGAGGTCCCAGCAGAGCCCGGGGAGAGGCCAGCTCCCCAACTGAGAAAGCCTGGCACCTGTACCTATTGCCCCCCTCCCGTCGTCCTCTGTTAGGAAACAGGGGCACTCACATTGACCAGACCAGGATTCTTCCCTGAAACCACGCTGTGTGAGTGTAGGCATGAGACGTCACCTCTCTGCACCTCATCTATTTAATACCTTCTCTGTCAGATGGAGACAGTAAAAGTACCTATATTTTAGGTAGGTTAGTAATACACGTAAAGCACTCACACATGAGGATACCTCTAAGTAACAGCCATGAGGAGGGTGACGATGGTGTGGTGTTCATATTATGTTGACAACCATGGCACCTTTTCTACTCCTGTTAGGTTTAAGTCATAATAGAAATTCAGCGCTTCATGGAAACAAATTAACCCCATATATTAACTGAATTTTAGTTCCAGATTATCTGGTGAGGATCCAAATATAGCTTCTGAGATGACTAAAAAAAAGCCTCCTGAATAAAGGCATGAATGAATAGCAATGAATTCACGGAAGGAGAACAGGCAAGTGGCGATGTTACAAAGCAGTTCTAAGGAGAGGATGTGAGAAAATTATAGAATGGAAATTATGGAACTCCACAAAAGTCAATCAGTTTGAAAAGAGTCTCAAGTTAGTTCTATTTCTAATCTTCCGCTTCATTAAAAAGAAGATAAGACAGAGCACTCAGGTGGCAAAAAGGAGTGACTTTAAATTTCATTGTTTCAACATTTGCTCTGAAAACAAACTGCCGTTCATCATTCAGGTCACACAAAAGCGGCACATTGTTCCTCTCCCTATTTCGACATTGGCCACTTACAGAAAGTCTGTCATCTGTCCACGCACTTACCTAACTGGACGTCGGTCGTGAAGCGGAGTCTGTGGATCATGCTGACTTTGAATGACTTGTAGTGGTGGCTGCTCAACATATCCTGTACTGTAGCTATGTCAATCTGCGAGTCCTCCTCGAAAACCCCGTCTGCCCTTGAACCTGGGGAGGAAAAAGCAGTTTAACACATAAAGATACATGAGGCTTGGCAAATGGTGTCTGCTTTAAAATGCTTTGGGATAAATTAAAATAATATGGGCTATTTAATTTGGAAAAGAAAAGGCTGAGCGATGACTTAATAATGCCATTCCAGTAAACAGAGAACGGTAACATATTAATCACTCAACAATTAATTCCACAAACACTGCCTTGTTCTGCGGCAGCCCCTTGGCAGGCCAGCAGCCATACAGAGGGCAGAAAAACTGCTCACCAGAAGCTGTCTCCACAAGAGTAAGTCAAAGTCACAAAAACACGGTTACTTAGATTCTTGCTTCTTTTTCTAATAATTTTCCTGATTATAAGAGTAATCCATGCTCCTTGAAGAATCCTTGTCCTTTCCAAGATTCTCAAACCGTCAGTTTATCAGCTCTGTGTCCCATGGCCCACAGCCTTCACTAGTTCCGCTACAAGCCTGCTTACACCCAGATGGCCGTGGCAGTCTCTCAGTGGCCTCCTGGCCATCAGGCTCCTCAGCAATCCAGCTCCTACAGGACTTTCCAGTTTGTCTTTCTAAAGCTTTGTTCAGTTATTCACTCATCAAACGTCTATTCAGAGCTTTGTGCACACCAAATACTCAGATACTGGGGACAAATAAGAAGACTGGAGCTCAGAAATCCTCCCTGGCTTCCCAAGGCCTCTTGAATGAAGCACACTCTTTTCAGTCAAGCAATCAAGGATGTCCAGTCTTACTGAAACAAAAACTTCCCACTTGTCACTTTTCACACATACCTTCTCTAAGCAATTCTCAAACTCCTGAGACTGTGTACAGTCCAGGTTTCTCTACTTCTGGGCCTTTGCTCATGTGGTACCCTTGGCCTAGAACATCCCTTCTGTCAAAACTCTGCCCAGGCTAGTCAGATTCCAGCTCTCCCTGAATTCCATAGCAGCTGGTTTATACTGGACTCTGGAGCCAGGAAGACCTGGGCTCAACTTCTGGCTCTGTCTCCAAGAGTAATGTTGGACATGTGACTATTTCTCTGAACCCTAGAATCTGCCATCCATAGAATATCAAAACGTATTGAAAGAATCTAACATACAATGCACATAATAAATAGCAGTCATGGTTATTTTTATTCTCTTGTCACAGTGGATCATGTTCAGCCTTGCACTAGAATTGTTGAGTGGTTGCTCTTAAATTGGAAGCTTTGTGAGGATGAGTGAAGTTTCTTATTCATCTCTACATCTTCTCCTGCAAGCAGGACAGGCAACTGGCATGCTCTCACTAAGTTTTGCTAAACAAATCAATAATAATGATGATAGCTATTAATAGTACATGGGAGTACTCATGCATCAGGCATGGTGCCGAGTACTTCACACATGCATTCAAGTCTCAAGACAACCTGGCAGGAAGTTCCTAGCATTTTCATATCATACAGATGAAGAAGCCAAGGCTGTGGAGGCAAAGTCATATGGCCCATGTCATACAAGCAAAGCTAAACTAACTCTTGTCACCCCCTACTCCTAAGTCTGGAATGTGGTCCTCTGAATGCGCAGCTGCTGCAGGGAGGACGCACCTGTCTAGAAAAGGTCAACCAGACTGGGGCGCCCGAGGCCTTGTGATGAGAACCCAGAGCGGAGTCCACAGGGAAACCATGAGAGAACTCCTTGGCACAGGGTTGGAGGAATGTAAAACTCTAGGTTTGGGCATAAAACTGGAAAATTCTATTATGCCTGCCAATTACACACTTTCCTTCCCACAGTTATTGTTTACAGGGCAGGCTTTTAAGTCAAAGCTGGCTTCTGATGCCTTCACATTGAACTGATGTATTAGGAATTGGATGTTCTATTTCCAAACACGACAACTCTTGCCAGCCTGGACCATCCTAGCACCTACAATGATGCCCTCCCCTCAGAAAGGCTGCAGCCTCACCTTTAAGCCTCAGCAGTCACTGGATGCCTGGGACATGGTCCACATTTTGCCCTCTCTGCCCAAGTCACCCTTCTCCCCTTTCTGCTCCCTCCTGGTCTGTTCGTCCAGGCCTCCTCCCCATCCCTCTGATGAGCTTAGCTCAAGCAACACTCCAAGGAATCCTGAGTCTAGCTCAGCTCCTCCTGTCACTGCACCCTGCATTTCCCTTCATGTTATTTATCACAGATAGTAATCGCCCGTCTCTGCCATTAGACTGTAACCCCAAGAGCAGAGACAGAGTGACTGCTTTATTAAACACCGTTGCCCAGACCCTGCTAGTGCTACCACGTACAGAATAAAGCAAGAGCTCAATAGCAATCTACTGGATGAATACCAAGCACTATATCCTCAGGATCAGGGAGGTTTCATGACTTAACCAACATCACATTGCTAGGACAGACACAGTGGCACTCAACCTTTGCAAGAAGGCCCATTAGGTAACCCTGCCCCCTCTCTCTGGAACACTTGTGATTTTGGATAGAGATGTTGTGATCATATGGTTTCCCTAGTAATATCCACATTCCAAGCCAAAAGGAGAAATTAAAGTATTGAATAGTTATTCACTTTCTCTAAATATACCTTTTACTAAAACAGAACTGCCAAGATGTGTTTATTTCTATTTTAGGACCTCCTAAATTGAGAATTTTGGAGAAACACTAAAATTCTTTCATGTTTTAAATCACTGAAAGCCATCTTTTCTGAGAAAAATGCCATTATTAGATACAACCTAGCTCAAGAACTTCTGTTTTCTTTACTAATTAGTATTTTCTAAATATTGCAGGTATTTGATTTGGAAAGAGGTAACAGCTCATTTATGCTAAAATGCCAATTATTTTTTTAAAAAACCATACTTAAGAGTTTTACATTTTATGATGCTGGATTAAAACCAATTTAAAAATTACTATAACGTGACATATAATTTTTTACTGAGCAATTTCAATGCCAGCTGCTAATAAAGCATCTTAGCTGTAAATGATAATTCAGATGCTTTTAGATAAAGTGGTGCATAAATATGGCTGGAAATTGATTTAGCTTCTTGCAGAAGCTACTGAAGAATGACATATTTTGTTTAATACACCAGCTAATGTAGTCCTAAAAGCTCAAACAAGTGCCAGTTTTCACTCCTAAATTTGCTGTGGGAGATTAATGAAAACTTTATATTTTGCTGAAATGTTAATAATGGGCAGATGAGATGATAGGATTTTAGTAGAGGTCTTAAAGCTATGGAATAACCAGCAGGGCTTGTCAATTTCCTCGTATTAATTTTGTTCAAGACGCAGACAGCTGGAGCTGGCTCAACGCACTAATGCTTCTCGCACTGACCTCCCACTCTCTGACAGTGTAAATTCACATCCCATTTGGGGGTTTAAGTCCTCTTGATACCTGGGTGAGTTCCGAGCCTGGCCCCGGCTGACAAGGGGCATGTTTACTTTTATGATCAGAAGGGTAACTGCACTGGAGAAGCCGAGAAGGAAGGAACAGTCCTGCACTCACCTCTGACACGGGCCACTCACCCTAAAGCAGGTTTATCTGCTGAATGGGAACAGCCTCTGGTCTTGGAACTCTGGCGCCACTTCTCAAAGTAGGCTCAGGAGTGCCTGTGCTTGGAGGGGACATGTGTGTGTGTACAGATCAGTCAGCCATGCAGTCTGTGACTCCTGACCCCATGCCTGCAGCATGCTGGATTGGGAAGGGAAACTTGAGGAGAAGGCAGGGTTTCTGATCTTCAGGAGCTTACAAACTCACTACAGAGTACCAAGAAAACACGCCAAGGCAGAGAGAAGTGCCCAATGACGCACATGACAGACATGTCATCTAAAGGCACACATTTGAAGCAGACTGCTACACCAAAAGCATGGGTTTTTTTTTTTTTTTTTTACCAGACAGATTCTGACTTTGCATGTACACCTTTACTGTCTGGATCCTTCTGGAAAGGCGTGAGCCCAACCACACATGAAAGATGTATGGTACTGTACCATATGCATATTAAAAGATACTACTGTACAATCAACTTCACATTTCAAAACCACTTCTGTTAAGAGGAGACATTTTTATCTACTCGAAGTAAAAAAAATAGAACCCAAATATGTTAAAAGTAAACATTAAAAAACCACTCCCCAAACTGCTAATTTAATTGAAATATAACCCTTTGGTATTTTGCTAAATTAGCAATTAAAAAGGTCACAAGCAATTAAATGAAACAAAAGCCACAGTGTGTTCATCTACATTAATGCTGAACTGGGTCTCCTCATGAATGACAAGATAAATTGTAATGGTGCCTTCAAAGACTTCACAATGCATTTTGTCAAAGTCGGGAGTGTTCATGTCTCTATGTGCCATGGATTACCATAATGTATCGTGTCAAAACGCTCAAGCTGCAATAACTCAAAGATGTATTGTGATAGATCAAACTTTGGGGTGGGGCCTAAAAGTGACTTGAGCACCGGAGCTCAGATGGACTGCCAGCAGGCTCTGGAAGGATGACAGCACTTTCAGGATACAGACAGCACTGAGGGGCAAGCGGGAAATCCCAGAGAGGAAGGCGCTGAGGCGCCTGGAGTGAGGAATCAGGAGAGAGGAAGCGAGGAGCAGCACTTGTCTCAGAGGCAAAACCAGGCCCGGGAAGAAGGGACAAGAGGAAGGGAGAGAAGGAGGTAAAGAAACAGAGAGGAGGCGAGAGAGCACGAGGGCTAAGGTGTGGCCTTGGGGCTCGGAATCACCGGAAAGAACCTGGAACACTGCGTTCAGAGACAGACTCAGACCCGAACTCTGACACTGAGGGTCCGGAGTGGGTCAGAGGCTTGCCCGAGGCCCCACTGTTGGGAAGAGGCGGAGCCGGGACAGACCTGTCAGGCCCCGCCCCTGCTGCCCCTCCTGAGGCACCACGCTCCCACGGGCAGGAGCGAGGACAGGGGCAGTGTGGGTAACTGCCACCTCGGTCAGCGCGGGGCCCAGGAATGGTGAAGGAAGTGGGGGAGGGGAGGCGGGTCTATAACCTCAATACTATTTTCATAACAGTGAGACATGATTTGCC